TACCGAACCTCAGCACAGCCATGTTTCAACCCCTGATCTCTGCATACCTCGTGAGAGATGGGCCTCGCGACCGGCGAGAGGCCATGCTACTGCCGATGGCCTGCGTCGTATCGTGGGAGCACTGCATTTGCCGGAAACTGGGCTCCACCAGCCTGCGGCTCTGGCTCGGCGCTGCACTGCTCTGCGTACATGCATCGCTGCGCTGGGGCGACGCACAGCGCATTGACTGGTCCTCACTGGACCTGACCAGCACGGCACTGCGCGGCACCTGCTACGCAACTAAAACCACAAGCGATGGCCAGCCGTGGGCTGTGCATTGGCGCGGTTTCACAGGCAGGGATCCCAGCACGTCCTGGGTAATCCACTGGCTGCACATCCTGCACGGCTATCTAACAGAGAATCCGCGCAGCAAACCTGATTTCATGTTCATGCAATGCAGTTTGGACGGCCCTCTGCCCGCCCTAGCATCGCCCAGCAGCTACCATCACAGCTTGCGCTGTCTTCGATGGGCATGCGCCGCACCATGGCTTTGCGCACCGCCCATCCTGACCAGCACCGAAGCCCTCAGCCTAGCACTGCACAGCCTCAAATCGTGCCTGCTTGCAGCGGCAGCGCAACGCGAGCTTCTTAAGGAGCATCGCCTTCAACACGGACACCACAGGGACAGCGCGGCACTGTACAGCCGAGACGACACTATCGCTAGCCTGCGCATACAACGCCAAATCCGCACAGCACTATGGCAGGGTTGGCAACCACAGAGATCTCAAGCCCGCGGAGGCCAAGCACCCGTCCCCGAGCCGCCTTTCCACATACACACGGGCGAGTGCCAACCCTGCCTCACGCAGTCGGACCTACAAGACCCGCAGCTGGCACGCTTCATCTCACGCCACGAAACGCTTCCACGTGCACCGCCGTGTCTGCCGCAGACAGGTTCCAGCAGCCCCGAACCACTTAGTGATAATAGTCTGCTACAGGCATCCGCAGAAGACCCAGAAGCCGCGGAAGTTGAGCGCGCAGCCCTGCATCTGCAACTAGAGTCCAGCTCGGAGCCCGAAGGCCCCGCCTCCCCTGTCGCATCGCAGCCTTCGTCAGCCGAGAGCGAAGATGTAGCGGAGCTTAGCCTCCAGGGCACTGGAGTTCGCAACGGAGGCTGGGCCTGCACACACTGCATTACTCCAGCCAGCTGGCAGGCATACAGGTCAACCCCTCCTAAAGAACGCAACGTTTTCATAGTGAAAACAGCGTGTGGTGTGCAACTGCGCCGCTGTGCATTTCTCACGCAACTATCCACGGCCACCTCCTTGTGCGGCAGAGCCGCGTGCAAATCAGCAAGAGCATCGGAGAACGCCGGGACCTAAGCCAGATCTGCACAGTCTAGCCCTGCACTGTGGAGCCCACCATGCTTGCATTCATCCGCAGCCGTTTACCCTGGCTCAATCGCACAACAGCCGCCTCTTCCCTAGTCATGGACATAGACTCCAAGCAGGATTTCAATCAGCTCTTGCAGGACTCTAACCTGCCCGAAGAGCTCTGCACTGCACTTCGCAATTCCGGATACCAGACTATTGCAGATTTTGCCTACAGTGTGCCACAGCAGCACTACCTTGACGCGTGGCTACACGCCCAGCCCCGAGAACTCTGGGAAGAGCTTCAAGTCGAAGACATCGCACACAGCCCAGTCATCGGCCGCCTTCGCCGCTTCCTTGACAGATGCCACACGCACACCTCCGGCACCGCACCGGCCCTAGCACGAGGGGAACCACCCCCTCCAGCCAGCGTCCGCACTGCGCCTGTTGCAGAGAACGTCTGGGCAGAGCACGCACCGCCCCGCCTCACGCCGGCCGCAGTCCAAAACATGAAAGATACCTTCACGGCAAACTACCCAGGGGAAATCCTCGACGGCAATTCTATGCCTAGCATTCGCCTACTCAGCATTGTGTACCAATGGTTCCGCCCCGGCAACGCACCGCAATGGGTGCCTTGGCAGCTACGCATGTCCGAGCGTCAATATCAGGAACTGCTCGTGGCTCGCACGGGCAAGGTCCTTCGCACAGAGGCACAGCTTATCAGCGCTGCACTTATTGACGACACGCCAGAACTCAACATCGACCCCAACCGACTTACGCATGGCTGGTTGGCAAAAACCCAGCAGGTTTTCCGCAACGCCATCGCACTCTGTGGCGGGGCACACCTTGCTGCCCTGAAAGAACTGGACGGCAAGGTCCTCGACTATGCAACAAACAGCCCTGCACCTGAACTCGGACTCCGCACCGTCAACATGTCAGAACTCTTGGCGGCAGACAGAAAGATATGGTCTGAACTAGCGTCCATGTGCCAGCGCGGCTGGTCATTAGACGACTCCTTGCACGAGCTGACACACATCCGCAGCGATATCCATACCCTGCTTCAACCCCGCCCGCGCCCACCCAAGCAGCCCAAAGGCAAAGGCAAGGACCCCAAGGGCAAGGGGAAAGGTGGCAAAGGCCCCAAAGGGGTGCGCAACGAGGCTCTTAAGCAAGCCCAATCCACCACTGCGCACAGCACCGCAGACCTTGTCACCATCAAGGGAGACAAGAAAATCTGCATACGCTTCAATAAGGGGACCTGCAACAACCCCAACTGCAAATTCTTGCACATATGCGGAGTAAAACTCAGCTCCGGCGAAGCATGTGGCAAGAAACACGCCGCATGGCAACACAAAGAGCCCCCCGCGCCATCGACCTGACAAAGTCCGGGGGGCAACAGCCGGGGAAACCCGCCGGACATCATGCAGCCAGTGCCCCCCCCGGCACCAACATGCACCCTAAGCCCCGGGAAAAGCACACCTGAATCGCCTGCACCGGCACCTAACCCCAACCCAGCCCCAGCTGGGGTCCTCACGCCTCACCCTAATAGCCATAAAGCAGAGCAAGCCGCGCATGCCATGCCATCCTTGCATGCTCGGCAACCAAGCGCAGACAGCACCTACTCCTGCACAAGCAGCTGCGCAGGGCCCGACGAGGAGGCAAGCCCCTCTGTCAAAATGCCTTCGCAGGGCACTGCCAGCCCCCCCCGACTGCTTCTCGACCTTTTCTCCGGTAGCACCGCACCGCTCAGCGCAGCAGCTCGGCTCTGGGCCTCGACTGCGTCGAGCCGATCGACGCCCGAATCAACAAAGCACAACATCTTGCAAGATGACTTCTTTCGCGTACTGCAACGCCTCTGCTGGTCGGGTTTAATAGGGTTTATATGGTCAGCACCGCCCTGCGCAGAATTCTCACGCCTCAAACTACTGCCAGGAGGGCCCAAGCCACTCCGAACACCTGAGCACATGGACGGTGTCCCGAACCTCACCTCAGCAGAACAGCGACGCGTCAACGACAGCACGGAGATCCACCAGCGCAGCAGGACTCTCCTGCGCGCCAGTTTCGCCAAAGGCTCCGCAGGAGGTTTCGAGCAACCCCCGAACGCCATGTCCTGGCTGCAACCAGACAACGTGCACCTCCTTAAAGAAATCGGGGCCACATGTGCACACGTTGCGGCCTGTGCACACGACCTGGACGTGCACAAATCCTGGGCCTTCTGCGGCACTAACAAAGAACTGGCGAACCTTCAGAGCACATGCCAGCACGGGGAAGGAGCACACACGCGCCTGCAAAACAAGCGCACCGCAACAGGTGAGTTCATGAGCTCGCAATGCGCTGCATATCCCCCTTCGTTGGCTGCACAGCTGGCCTCCATCGCAGCCTTGTCAGTAACACAAAAGCTGGGCTCGACAATTGGCATCCAACAGGCGCTCTCGCTCCTGCCATCGGAGTTTTCTCCGATCCCACGCCCGATTGTCTGTGATGGTTCTGGCAACAGCAGCACAGCCGACCAATGCCTGCCTCAGCAGTCGACTTGCCTGAAGCAACTCAGGGAGGCCTTCCTCGCGTTCATCGCAGACCACGACCTGGCAACCCGTATCCGCAAACACTTGGAGGCAGCAAAAGATGAGCACCCCCTGAGCCAGGAAGAGCAGCTGCAACTTGCAGCAATCGCTCATGCCATCATCCATCCCAACTGCACTGACGCCAACTGCCTCAGCATCCGCGAAGTTCACAAAACGAAGACTGCAGCCACTTTACTCAAAGCACTGAGTGCACACTAAGAAAGCTACAGATATAAGTGCTCTACATTCTCACGTCAGTCGGTCCCCTGTTTTCGAACATGGTGGTATGAGCATCCGGCAAGCAAATCCACGAAAAGCAAAAGGAAGATGCGAATCACAAATCTCACCCTGCTAACAACAGTACAGTATGTAGCAAATATAAGATAGACCAATAGAAACCTGATTCGCAAAGCGAACCCCGGGTGGGTCCGGGTGGGTAAAACATAAAAGCAAGCTATGCATTCATGCAAGCGACTGAGCGGACTCTCTCTTTCAAGCTCGCGAGCAAAGTGGCTGCCGGCAACAAAATAGCGTAAGTGTTACACTTCGTTTGCAAACATCGTTGAGTAAACACAACAACCGTTCACAAAACGAAGACTGCAGCCACTTTACTCAAAGCACTGAGTGCACACTAAGAAAGCTACAGATATAAGTGCTCTACATTCTCACGTCAGTCGGTCCCCTGTTTTCGAACATGGTGGTATGAGAATCCGGCAAGCAAATCCACGAAAAGCAAAAGGAAGATGCGAATCACAAATCTCACCCAGAAAGATTCTACCATGCAGAGTAAACAGGAGACCGAACGCCCTAGCATATCCCAAGGTAAGAACGTGTTCGCGGCTACTGCAACTCTCAAGCGAAAGATGTGAAGGCCTGCACGCACAGAGGACCAGCACTGATGGGGAAGCCGAAGCAACCGCGCACCACCAGATAGGCACTCCGGCAGACTGATGGGACGCCCGAGGAAAAGACACACCATCCCAACGGGGGAAGACTAGCAACCGCGCACCGTTGGTAAATGTGCCCACAGGCTGTACGCTGTTGGAATGCGAAAGGTACCAAAAGAAGTAGGCGAAGATGGAGACCGTGCTTAATCCCGAGGCGGATCCCACAGAAGCGTAGCGTCTGCAGGCCAAACTCGCACATCAGTGCGGAAATGCCAAAGTCTGGAAAGTGGCAGATCCACCCTGTGTGACAGCTGCCACTCTGCGGGCAGTGCAGAAACTCCATCCCAACGCGACAGGAAATCAGCTTGGTCGTTGGCGCCTGGAACATGGCCTACCTCCAAAGCAATGCCTGACAATGCACTGAAAGTAGCCATCTTCTGCAGAAACAAGCACACCGGATAAGTTGTTGAAAACATCTTATTGATTGAGCTCTCCGCCCCAGTGTTGTCGCTCAACGTCTGCAAGCGGACGCAAAGGCGGCCCGAGGGGATTGCTGTAGCCACCAACATGAGGAGGGCATGTTGGGCTAGCGTTTCATAAGACGTTATATCGCGCTCAGCCGCTGCTTGAACTAGGACCCCTAAATCCAAGAAATCTGCAACCGCAAACCGCTCTGAGAACCAAATATTGTGGCCCTCCCCGAAAGAAGCAAAGCCACCTATGCCGATCTTGTCGCCCTGTGCCATAGCATCAGCCGCTGCCATTTGCGGTGACATAGCAGGCGGTGACCGCAACATACGGAAAGTAGGCCCTGACATAGCCCAACGCAGCCAGAACTGCAAAAAGGCCTTGCTCAAAGCCGACAACCTGCGTTTGGAAGTGCGCGGATCAGCCACACGCAGCCAGAGCCTCTTGCCTGAAGGCTGAACCAAGCGCAGGTCCGATTTGCGACGCAGCTCAACGTGCTTGGCTGATAATAACTTACCACCCACCGGAATGCCAGATCCCGCCGGAGAGCTTGTGAACACCAGCTTATCATCAAGCGCTGAAGGCACCGCAGCCCAAACCCCAGGATTCAAGCTGAAACTCGTGGCTAGCGGCCTTGCCATATCCTCATACAAGCAACTTAACCAAGGCTTCAGATGTGGAACGATCTGAATGACCCAATGCAACAGGCCAATGAGCGATTCCAGTTCCTTCTTTGAAGTGGTTTTTGGTTTTAGAACAGCCAAACACATGTGCAAGATTTTTGCCAATTTGTCCTCAGGCAAACTGAAAGTGCAAGACCCCAGGTGAAAATTCCAGCCGATCCAACGCACAGTCAGCCCCAATTGCAATTTGGCCCAACTTATAGGGACGCTGAAGCAGGCGCAAAATGCAAGGATCAAGCTGGAGCACAACTCTATCACGCCCTTGTTCTGGATCAGGAAAAAATCGTCCACGTACGCAAACAGAGCGTGAGCGACCCACAAAATCCTTACAATTTTCCAGGACATGCTTGCGCAGGCGCATGGGAACATGATGCTCTGCCAACCATGGCAGCCAAGCCTGACGAAGATCCCGAAGCAGATCCGACTGACCTGGCGGCGGTGCTGACCAGTCTGGCAGTGAGTAAATCCCCCCCCCATCTTGATTTGCCCTTGGCATTGCATCATGAGACTTCACAGGGAGAGCTTGACAACACTGCTGCAAGGACAGAAACGAGGCTTCCACGGAACCCTCAAACAAGAGGAGCCACTGCGTCCGCAAACTTTTCACAAAGCTCCCGCGGAAACTCAGCCGTACTTTTGGAGAGCCAATTGCCATCAGCATCACGCACGCCGCGAATATCAAAGTGCTCACTATAAGCATGCGCACACGTAGCTGCAAGACTTTGCAAAGGCCGCCAGCTAGACGCCAGAAGCCAATGCTTGTGAAGCGAAACCCCAACACTGCATGCTGGAATCACAACCAGGTCTGCGCTAACCAACCGAAGGAAGGCCTGCACTTCACGTAACAGCCAACTTAGAGCATTACGAGGTTGCTCCAGGGAGACATGCGCGCCGGCGGCAAAAGCCACCTCCAGGATAGCCAAGCACCGCGTCAACAACAGCTTGCTGGTGTGCAAACGAGCTTGTTCTTCTGCCGACAGATCCGGCAGTCCTTCCGGGTAATCCTCTGTGCGAATGGGGCGAGGACCATCGCCATCAAGTGTTTTGAGGCGAGAAAACTCAAGGCAAATTGGACTAGCATGTGCAAATTTGACAATGCCGCTTGAAGCCACTCGTAACAGGGCATGGAAGGCTGAATCATTAAGCAAATCTTGCATGACCGAATCTCGGATGATATCGATGGGGAGACAGGAAACGCCACGCTGCAACATTGCCTCAGACAACGGAGCGCAAGCGCCCGAACAAACATCCAGAAAGACTTGCATTTGCCAACCCTCCGTAGGAACTACGTTCAGAGCGGGCTGCTCCGAAGGCGAAGGCGGCACAGAAGGAACTAGCACGCCATCCGAAGCCACTGGCAAAGGAAAACCAAGATCCACAAGGGCAGCCCGAGCTGCCGGAGCCATCACCTCGAGCCCTGGCACCGAGTATGCCGTAATGGCCCAGCGTGTGCCCCCCTCCCAGGGCATTGTAGCATGAAGCTGTTCGCAGGGGAAAGAGACAGGATTGTCATGCGAACTGACCACACGACCCGGCACCAGCTCAGTGGAATGCGGCAGAGGCATCATGACCTCCCCAGCTGGATCTGCCAGCCACAATTCGCCCTTTGAAAAAGAACCGACTGAAACTGTATGGTTTTCTGTATGTGGGAGGTTGCCAGAATCGGAATGCAGTCTAGTCTGAACGTTGCGCGAAAGACAAATGGATGTCCAAGAGGCTGAAGGAAAACATGCTCGCAAGAAAACATTCAAGAAGCGACAACTCTCCTGGTACATTTGTGTAATGGCCGTCAGGCCAACCTTGGAATTGCCGAACATGGCTCCCAAATTAAAATAACCGGAGTATTCGCCCACTATGGAAGGTCGTGCTGACCTACGCGATTGCCAAAAATGCTCTTGCAAATGACGCAAACAACCGGAAAAATCTGGCTCCGAAAGAGGTGCTGTCGGTGCAAGTGGGACAGGACTGGACACAAGAGTGGCCTGAGCAACATTGACTGCCGTAGAAAGGGGCGCCTCAGAGTGAAAGCCAGGCCTGCCTGCACCAGGCATCTGCAATGCGGCCGCATCAGAAGAGCTACCTGTATCGCCCGAGGACTCTGCCGCAACTGAGTCCCCCGGGCCCCTTCAATGCTTAGCCCCGCGATGCTCTGTAGCGGGATGCTTCCCACCACAAAGACGGCCATCACTACGATGCACATTGCAAACATGCGCAAACTTGCAGTCCGCACGCTTGCAACCTTCTTTGGTATTGTAGCTGCGACACACGACGAGAACCTGGCCATTAATCTTGACTTCATCATTGCGCAAGCCATTCTCTTTACCCCCTTTGCCGAAGGGTTTGGCGTGAGCTCCTTTGTCCTTGCCCCGGGACTTTGCAAATGCGCCACCAGTGCGAAAAGGAGCCGGCGGAGGTGGGGCAAGCAAACGAGGTTGCAAGTGCACATGCAGGATGGTGCGCACATCCACTATTTCCAAAACTGCGTCGCCAAGAGCCCAGCCGTGATTTGCAAACAAGTCGTTAATGGCTGACCAGGCCTTCTCATCTGCTGCCAGTGCTTCCGCAGCCGAAGGACCCCGCCAGCCCGACTCAGTCTGAGGAAAACACAGCTTCAGGAATGCCTGAACATACTTTTTGAGGACTCCCAAATGTGCAGCCTTGCACAGCGCGAGTGCATTGGCATGAAGGCTCAGTGCAGAAGCCACATAGGAATAACTCAGCTGACTGGGAACTTCCTTGGCTGGCACCTCATCAAAGAGGAGAGACTCCAACCTTGGCACCTTAGTCGGACGCTGTAACTGATGCGCCTGCTCTTGTGCTGCTGACAAACGATGCCGCCAGTGAGGCCACTTCAAAGACTTGTCTTGGACCCCCTTGTAGACCAAGGCCATCAAACGCGAGCTGGGAGTCTCTTCCGGGGAGAGAAGCTCCGATGGATACGCCGAAAGAAAACTTTCCCGAAGCAGTTTCCACGTAGCGGCACTCAACTTAGCCGGGAAGGGATCACTCCAGGAATCACCAGCTGGCAAACCTGACGGTGCTGGAGGTGGAAAGGACGGCTTGGAAGCCTCCCTGCACTGTTGCCACAACTTGCGGACTGATGCCTCCACCAAAAACTGATCTGGCCCATGATTCTCAAGCAGGCTTTCCAAAAACCTATCAAGCCCTGATGCTTCCGCAGCCACATGCGCAAAGAGATCTGGCGTGAACCCGGCAAAATGGTGGTGCAAAACCTCAGGCATCGAATGCTGCAGCAAAATGTCTTGCATTGTCAGCCCATCGAGCGCACCGGAGTCAGACATACCTGCCAGCAGAAAGATGCGCAAAGCACCAACTAGAATGAAATACAAGATACATAGTATTTTGCCGCAAAGCCATAAGCTGTAGCTATTTGGCCTTAATTAAGGGCAACAGAAAACCGCTAGCTCTTGGCACTAAGAACGGGGCAACGGGAATATCTCAGGCGGCGCATCGTAGCTCCACACCACGTTGCCGAAACCAACCCCGGCAAACCAACCCCTGCGAAGCAGCTGCACGCCACCCCGCTAGCAACAGCCACGCAAGACCTGCACACAAGGTAGCTCCACACCACCCAGCCCCGCTATCACAGGCGTACCACGAAGCAGCTGCACGCCACTCCGCCCGCACCAGCCCCGCAAGCAAGACGCGACCACAGACCTGCATACAAGGCAGCTCCACACCACCGCCCGCGCACCAGCCCCGCTAGCAGAGGTGTACCACGAAGCAGCTGCACGCCACTCCGCCCGCACCAGCCCCGCAAGCCAGACGCGACCAGGAGTAGCTGAACGCCACCCTGTCTGCACCAGCCCTGCAAACGAAAGAGCCGAAGCAGCTAGGCGCTACTCCGCCCACACCGAGAAAAAAGGGGCCACGAAGTAGCTATATACCACTCCGCCCGCACCAGCCCCGCGATTCAAAAGACAAACAAATGCAAACTTCACTACATGCTGCAACTGCAAACGCAGGCATAACTCCACCAGGAGCCTGAAGCCTGATCGGCCAGAGTGGGTGCAACCTCGCCCATGGCACTAGCAAGTCATGAGCTCCCCTGCAAGGAAAAACTGTGGCAGAAGCCTTGCATGCACAGACCTGCCACCCAGAAGCAAAAGCCAGCGAAGCAACAGCAGCCTCTCAGCAAACAGCATCTGCGTTCTCTTTTTTCTGAAAATGCCACATGAAGCGAAGTCAAAATCTGAGAGGCACTGCTACACACAGGCCCTGGCATCAATGCTGACACGCATGCAACACCAGCTGACAAGCCTTATGTCTGCAAAAGCGAGGCGAAGCCGGAAGCGATTGAAGCAAGTGGAGCTGTTTGGAAAGCATCCCACAAGCAGGTTTGACCCATGTGCAAGCATCTGTGGAACCGGCACCCGCAGCGCCATCACAGAGAACGCCGGTACCCGCTGGAGCCAAACTGGCCATGTGCAGAACGCCACTTTGTGCTTGCAAAAAGAGAACCTCATCCGGAGCGCCAAGGGACTGCGCAGATTCCTCCTCGGATGATGAGAGCAACTCTTCGGACTGGTGCTCTTTAGCAGACGGGGCCACCGTCGGAGAAACAAGCACCTTGACAGGAGAACTCGGTAAAGCCCCTGCATCTTCCCCAAAAGCCGTACCAGTATGCAAAGGAAAACAGATAGACTGCAAAGCTTCAGGAACTGGACAAGGTGCCGGCAAGAGCGGCAATTGCACAATTGGAAGCTGACCGCCCCGGCCCTGCGGCGTTAGCGGCAACCACCCTGAACGGATACGGCCCAATGCCTGTTTCTGGCCACGCAACGCCGCCCAAACGTCGTCGCGGCCGTAAAGCTTAAAACATAAAAGCAAGCTATGCATTCATGCAAGCGACTGAGCGGACTCTCTCTTTCAAGCTCGCGAGCAAAGTGGCTGCCGGCAACAAAATAGCGTAAGTGTTACTTCGTTTGCAAACATCGTTGAGTAAACACAACAACCGATCAACCCTTTCGCCTTCACCTGCTTCAGGCACTGGCATCACGCACCGCAGACCCTGACGAGAAACTTGTCGAAATTCTCATCGAAGGGGTGCCAACGGGTGCATTCGAACCGCTCCCCGCAAGTGGACAGTGGATCGCAAACCACTTCAGCACAGCAACGCATTTTGACGAACCACTGCAGCTGCTGCACTGCTCGGGCAATTGGACGCGAGCCGAAAATAACCCAGACATATTGCAAGAACTAATAAATAAGGAACTGCAAGGCAACTACATTACGGAATTCCTCGGCAATGAGGAAGACGCAAAGAAGCGCTGGCCTAAAGGCACGGCTATAGGGAAGCTAAATGTAGTTTTAGCTGAAGGACGCGACCCGCGTATGGTGCTTGACAGCACCATATGCAATCTGAACCCGCGCTGCACGCTACCAGAACGCATGCAAATGCCTACTGTCTGCGACGTGCAGCTCACATATGCACCGCAAGATCCGCCGGGTTTCTGGCACGGCCTATCGCTTGACTTCAAAGCAGCGCATAAAGCCTGCGTTGTCAGGGAAGATGAGCGCGGCACTCTTCTTTTCAGGCATAAAGATAAACTTTATTTCTATAAAGTGTGCCATTTCGGAGCACGTTTTAGCAGCTATTGGTGGCAACGCCTCGGCTCCGTATTGCACCGCATAATGCACCACCTCATTAGCCACAGGCCGCACCGCAGCTTCCTGTATGTCGATGACATATTCGCAATGTTGGCGGCACAGCACAGCACAGAGCTCACTTGCCTGATCATATGCTTCCTAGCCGCGGTCAACGCCCCCATCAGTTGGAAAAAGGCACAGATCGGGCACTGCATCACTTGGTGCGGTTGGTCCTTCGATCTCCTGACCGACACCGCAACTCGTGCAGACCAAAATCTACAAACTCCTGGAGCAGCTTGCAGCGCTGCGCCGCACCCCGAAAGTGCATCGCAAGGCCCTGGAGGCCATGCTAGGCCTTCTTACATGGGCAACCACCATGTCGCCTCAGCTCCGCCCGTTTCTTGCACCGTTATACAACGACCTGCACAGTGCCAAGGGCACCCTGCACAGCATACCAGCATCGCAATGGACGCATTTTTACCAATCGCTAGACGATCGGGCGTGCGTGCAGCACACAGCAGGCATGTGGCTGCCAAAACAAGCCAAACTCCTGGAAGTTGGCAACATCAAGATTGAAAGCAAGGCAGATGTCCCACGAGTCCCTAACCTAAGAGCTCCCAACGCACTTGGGTCCGACTCGCAGATCCACACAGGCATGAGGTGCATCTAAAAAGGCAAAGCCGCGATGCACTCCTTTGGCTAGAACAAGTGTTCAAGCACAGCAACCGCGTCCCTCTTCAGCTACCAGCCATGCTTCAATGCCTTAGCGCTGCGGACGCAATGGCAAAAGGCACCAAGGTTGGCATAGGCGGATGGATCTGCACCAGCTCGGGCTTCGCATGTTTCTGCATGACTGAAGTGCGGGCCAATGGCCACAATTGAAAGATGACGCGCAGCTCTACATAGCCTGTTTCGAAGTGCTTGCACAATTGGCGCCACTGCAGCTCGCCTGGCAGCGCATGCGCGGGCACCGCATGCAATTTATCCTGCCTACTGGCTGCGACAACACCGCAGCAGAAAGCGGCATAAATAAGCTCTTCAGCACTGCAGAACCGCTAAGCACCTTTCTGCGCATGGTGGCGGACTGGGCACACCGCCACAACGTGCAATTGGCAGTCTCCCATCTTGCGGGGGAAAAGAACACCTGGGCAGACGAGCTCAGCTGGGATAAACTGCACCGTTTCATCCATCGCAACACCGAACTGCCCCTGGCATTTTTAGCAGAAAACTGCCAATGCATTTCGCTCCACCCGCCGGATGCACACTGGCCCAGCTCTTTGTTGGCAGCATCCAGCTAGCAAGTCGCCACCGCAGGCCGCGGGGGACCCTGCGCACCAGGGAGGACCGCACGCACAGCTCGCATAGCTCAGAAAAAAGGCCCGTTTCGGCAATGCTCACTCGAACATAAGCTCTCTTCGGCTCTGAGAGGCATGATCAACAGTGTTGCCCGGAAGACTGAAGTGGGGGTTTCTCAGTTTTCCTGCAATGCACCGCACGCGACTTCCAAGCAACATCTGTCAAAAAAGAGTGAGCCGGCGTAGAGCAAACTGTGATGTGCTGCACAAGGGATGGAGCCTGAACGTTGCGTGTGTACTTTTGGTTTTTGATTTACACGCATGTTTTGCACCATCTTCTTTTCTTGTTGCTAACATGTATGCACGGTCGCTTCAGGCTCCAGGGACGTGCAGTCTCGCTTGACTCAAGGCCGCAAGACCTTTGCAGAGCACTCCACTCAAGACCAATTCAAGTCTCACTGATCTCACACTACGAACTGTGATGTGCTGCACAAGGGATGGAGCCTGAACGGCAAAATTAATTGTAGCCGGGCCGCAGGCCGTCAAAGCACGCTATTAAACTGTGGGACGATGTCATTGAAAATACCATGGGGCCTGAGCTAGTTTCGAACTTCGTGACCAACAATGTCGCCTGGCCATGGAGCCACTTGCAGCTATTTTTGGCGCGAAAAGCTGCAGCCCATCGAAAATACCATGGGGCCTGAGATTTTTAATCCTATAAGTATAAATAGATTCGGTAAAACTAATTGTGTGAAAACACAGCAGCAGCGCGCTGAACCCTCTTTTTCTCACGACTTGAGCCAAAGTCAAAAGCCGGAGGCTTCGTCAGTGAAACTCTTTACACACAGGTGAAAACTCTGCTCTGCCACGTGTTCTCCACAGCCACAAAACAAACTCAAACGTCAGTGGGAGTTCTCGGGACCTACCCAACTATACCTAAAGCAAGCAAAAACGTGCACAGTCACTTCTACAGCTTTCAGACACACATCCCTACAACTCAAGCACTTCAAAAGGCTTTCCCACTTAAAGCAGCACTCCCGTCGAGCCTCCAAGGCACAACTACGGAGTTCCTACAACTACACACACACAACTCTGAGCCAGCATGCAGGACAACAAAGTTAACATGTCCTTAGACAGGAACTTTCGTCTGCACGCTGCGAGGCGTAGCCACCCGAAGGGGCCGTTGGTCAAGGTGAAACTAAACTAAAAATACCTCGCTTGAGGTGTTGCGTTCTCAGCTAGGCCCTCTCTCAGCTGCAACCCTCAGCACTCGCGAGGCCGAACTTTGCCCTCCGCATGCATTGCTGTTGAGGCACTTGTTGTGGCATCAGCCTCCGTAAGTTTGGCAATCCCCACTCAGCACTGGATGTTCTGTTCGAGGCATATTTCCTCAGCGCATGCGAGGCCGCAAAGTGAAACACGTGAGGTATGAAAAACTGCTACTCCAGGTTCGTCCGCAGCTCCGGCTTTCTCGCACTTACTAACCGTGCCTTGCAGCCTCCCCCAAAGTAGCGTCACCCTGGCTTTCTCGCTCTTACTCACCAGTTGACCAATAATGCATCTCACGCGGTTGCTTCATGGTAAAACTGCAGCTCGAGGTCCCGGCGTTCTCGCTCTTACTAACCCGGACCGACACTGCAGAGAAGCATTGACTGTTGTTCCCTCAGCGGAGGCGAGGCCGAACAACCATTCCGCTGCATCAGCGCAGCCAGGCCCTCAGCTCCTCACTGAGCCAGGGCTCTCTTTAGACAGAGTTCCCTTGCTGGCAAGCCCTCTATCTCTATGTGACCCCCGCGGTGCCACGTATAAGCAGCTGCACCGCGTGTCTTAGGACCACAGTTTTCATTCGGATTTGTTGTTGTAGGCCTTCCAGTGCTTGAGGCCGAATCCAAACACCACATCTCACGTCACAAGGCTGGCAATTTGGCTCCAACATCTGAAGATAGTAACACATACTCTGCGTGGCGTCCGCGTGAGCTAGCCTGTCCTTTCTTTAGGAGTTCGGCTCCTTTCATCGCTTGTCTTACCACAGGTCTCTTTCGGTGGCCCGTACTCAGCAGCCAGCACATGTACCATCCTCAGACGCCAGAGCCGCCTTGCCCCAGCAAGTGCCCATACAAACCACTCACCAGATAGTGAGAGCCAACATCTTCAAACAACCTCCAGCGGCCGTGCCGCGAGGACCTAAACATCTGCAAGGTTCCGCCTTGTCTGTGTGCACGGACAGACCCCAGCCCTTGCAGGAGACGTGGATGTAAACAAAAGCAGGCCTGCCATGTCCAGCAGGCTGATTACCATTGGTTGCCTTCAGATGGGAAAAGCGCGAAGATCGGGTAACCTCCATCTGAATCATTTCCGGCCAATACCAACCCTTACAAACCCTCAGCACGGAGCGAGGCCGAAGGAGGCTTCTTGGACTATTGGTTTTCCGGGGAGCAGCCACCATCAGCTGCTCTTCAACTTGCACTGCGCCGCACCACAGTCCTACTGCAAGTTCCTTGGCAACGGTTTCTCAGTAGCACCAGTCAATGAGCTTTACGACACTGATGCCTCTGGTTATTTATGTCCAGGCAGATCCACCAGGGTTGGGCCAAATCTTTTCTACCTGATTCTACCTGCGAAGAAAATCCTGTTGTGCTCAGCTTGCAGATCCCCGAAACCTGCAAGCTTGGGCTCGAGCACACCGCAATTGTTCGGGACACTCCTGTCGCCACTGCAAGGATGCCTCTTGCAGTGCGACGTTGGCCTGCACTGTCTGCAGCGTGCCTGGCCGTTTCCCCCGTGTTTCGGTCTCACCTTCGGTTTCCACACAAGTGAGCGAGGAACCCAAACTCACCTTCAGCACAGCCCTCAATCCAAATGAGGGTCGGTGGGTTTTGCTCACCCAGAGACAGCAGGAATCTCTGGTGAGCAACAGGCTTGCGTCACCCCTCAAGCAATGCGAGGCTGCAACTCTCACTGTGACCCAGAGCAGACTGTAGGCCACAAGGTTCCCTCAGCAACGCGAGGACGAAAAGCTTCCCTCTAGCGAAGCGAGGCCGAAAACTGTGCACTCACGCCCTTCGTCGACGGCAGCAGTTGGCGGGCCGCCGCTCTATGACAGCTTAGCCGGTCAGCCGGCCTACGAGCAAACACAGTTTTGCCAGGCCTCAAAACGGAACCTACCCTTAGTTACAAGCCCCAGGGCCAGCCACAACGGCACTAAAGACGCTCTCTACCTGAGCACCCCACCGGGGTTGAGCCGAAACCTTGAGCCAGACAGGAACTTTCGTCTGCACGCTGCGAGGCGTAGCCACCCGAAGGGGCCGTTGGTCAAGGTGAAACTAAACTAAAAATTACCTCGCTTGAGGTGTTGCGTTCTCAGCTAGGCCCTCTCTCAGCTGCAACCCTCAGCACTCGCGAGGCCGAACTTTGCCCTCCGCATGCATTGCTGTTGAGGCACTTGTTGTGGCATCAGCCTCCGTAAGTTTGGCAATCCCCACTCAGCACTGGATGTTCTGTTCGAGGCATATTTCCTCAGCGCATGCGAGGCCGCAAAGTGAAACACGTGAGGTATGAAAAACTGCTACTCCAGGTTCGTCCGCAGCTCCGGCTTTCTCGCACTTACTAACCGTGCCTTGCAGCCTCCCCCAAAGTAGCGTCACCCTGGCTTTCTCGCTCTTACTCACCAGTTGACCAATAATGCATCTCACGCGGTTGCTTCATGGTAAAACTGCAGCTCGAGGTCCCGGCGTTCTCGCTCTTACTAACCCGGACCGACACTGCAGAGAAGCATTGACTGTTGTTCCCTCAGCGGAGGCGAGGCCGAACAACCATTCCGCTGCATCAGCGCAGCCAGGCCCTCAGCTCCTCACTGAGCCAGGGCTCTCTTTAGACAGAGTTCCCCTGCTGGCAAGCCCTCTATCTCTTTGTGACCCCCGCGGTGCCACGTATAAGCAGCTGCACCGCGTGTCTTAGGACCACAGTTTTCATTCGGATTTGTTGTTGTAGGCCTTCCAGTGCTTGAGGCCGAATCCAAACACCACATCTCACGTCACAAGGCTGGCAATTTGGCTCCAACATCTGAAGATAGTAACACATACTCTGCGTGGCGTCCGCGTGAGCTAGCCTGTCCTTTCTTTAGGAGTTCGGCTCCTTTCATCGCTTGTCTTACCACAGGTCTCTTTCGGTGGCCCGTACTCAGCAGCCAGCACATGTACCATCCTCAGACGCCAGAGCCGCCTTGCCCCAGCAAGTGCCCATACAAACCACTCACCAGATAGTGAGAGCCAACATCTTCAAACAACCTCCAGCGGCCGTGCCGCGAGGACCTAAACATCTGCAAGGTTCCGCCTTGTCTGTGTGCACGGACAGACCCCAGCCCTTGCAGGAGACGTGGATGTAAACAAAGCAGGCCTGCCATGTCCAGCAGGCTGATTACCATTGGTTGCCTTCAGATGGGAAAAGCGCGAAGATCGGGTAACCTCCATCTGAATCCTTTCCGGCCAATACCAACCCTTACAAACCCTCAGCACGGAGCGAGGCCGAAGGAGGCTTCTTGGACTATTGGTTTTCCGGGGAGCAGCCACCACCAGCTGCTCTTCAACTTGCACTGCGCCGCACCACAGTCCTACTGCAAGTTCCTTGGCAACGGTTTCTCAGTAGCACCAGTCAATGAGCTTTACGACACTGATGCCTCTGGTTATTTATGTCCAGGCAGATCCACCAGGGTTGGGCCAAATCTTTTCTACCTGATTCTACCTGCGAAGAAAATCCTGTTGTGCTCAGCTTGCAGATCCCCGAAAACCTGCAAGCTTGGGCTCGAGCACACCGCAATTGTTCGGGACACTCCTGTCGCCACTGCAAGGATGCCTCTTGCAGTGCGACGTTGGCCTGCACTGTCTGCAGCGTGCCTGGCCGTTTCCCCCGTGTTTCGGTCTCACCTTCGTTTTCCACACAAGTGAGCGAGGAACCCAAACTCACCTTCAGCACAGCCCTCAATCCAAATGAGGGTCGGTGGGTTT